AATTTTCCACATCGGGTTTTGCATGCTGGTATGTATTATTTTTTACAGTCAGACAAACACCATTCTAAAGTCCTGACCGGGGAAGTTTCTGAAAGTTCTTCTGCTTATCATTCATGCCCCAAGTTAACTCCCAGCTTCCTCGTTGTATTAAAAAATTAGAAAAATGTGTAATTTTTTATGATTTTTATGGGTATGTTTGTAAAATTAGTTTATTTGTAAATTTCACAATATAAAATAATGTTTTTATAATTTTCTCAGTTCTGCAGTTATATTCAATTATAAATATGTTTTTTGAACTTCAGGGTGCAAATCTGTCATTAGAAATATAATTGTCCAAATTGGCACTTACATAGTCCAATAACAATCTAAATCTTCTAAGTAACGTACATCAACATTGAAAATTTGAAGCTGATCAACAAAGGCATTCATAAGCCATTGCTTATAAACTGGTATCCTAATTTTTTCATATTTCTTCATTGATAACAAATTGGCATGTACACAACTGAAAATGAATCCAAACCTTTCACATGATCATGATTTGTCTTAGTTTTGAGCTGTGTAGGTGACAATTTTCTAAGGGCAAAAAATTACAGTACTGTACATACATGTATATGCATTTTTGTGGTAGCCATTTTATATTGTTGCAGATTCTGTATAATAATCAATGCTGCCATGGTTGTAGATAATAAATCTGAAAAGATGTTGGTTTTCCCAAAATAATTCGGGTTTCTCAGTAAACTTTTTAATTTGGCGCGGGACTATTTAGGTCCCCCACTGACTTTCCCTGATTCACAGTAAAAGATGCTTGCTGAGTGGGCAATCTTTTTGTTTTTTATAGGGACTTTCTCTGTGTTTTGAATTGTCCTTGTGACTATTTTTTTACTCCGAACAGGTTATTCAGTCATCATACTGCCAGTGGTGGGCACAGTTCCCCTAATCTGCTAACCACTAATTAGTGGAACTAATTTTTGGTTTAGTGGATTAGCATTTCCACTAACTTTGGAAACCTTTAGCGGACCAATTAGCTTCCGCCAAATAAAGTTCCGCTAACTTTGAATCCGCTAAAAAAAATCAAATGTTGTTGGTAGTCAGAAAGCAATGCCTTTTCAATGGTGCACTTCTTTATTCCTGTCTGTTGTGGGCATTTCTCCAACAGTCAGTCAGGCATGCTATTGGCTGACTTGTCAATGTAGCAGCAGCAGCAGCAGTAGCATTTGAGCAGCATTGTTATAGTCTTACAGTGTCAGTGATCACCGAGGTGCATTATCACTTATTATTATGAACAGGGGAGATGTTTCTGTTCTGCCTGAGGGTGTTGTTGAGGAGCCAGAAGCAGCTGTGGTTGAAGTAGAGGGTGCTTAGGCTGAGGGCCCGGAGTTGCAGAACCCGTGGCCCCACCTGGATGACTATATTGTCCTCAAGTCAAGGGATATGAAGGATGCGTCATGTGCCACCCCCAACAGGATGAGAACAGCTAAACTGAGCCTTCACTGCCCCTGAGGTTGGCTTCCCTGCATTTTTGCTCAGGGGGGTAGCAAATGTTTCAATGCCATAAGATAAGATCCAGGGGGAGGACCAGGCCTATCTTGGGAGCCTTCTGCCAACTATAGCGGCTACCATCATGAAGTTGAAGGAGGTCAAGTCCAAATGTCTCTGTACTGCAGTCATCTGGTAGTGCAATCCGGCAAAATTTGAAAAAAAAGGTTTTGGGGGCCCCTCCAAAAAGACCGGAGTCCCATTTGGGCTGCTCCCTTTCAACCCCCAATTTTCGCCTGCTGTGCTGGAGCAGTTGACAAACCCAGGTCGAAAGTGGGAAACCAGGAGACTGTATGGAAGCATCATGATGGAACCGTGAGGAGACCAGCAGCACCAAAATGAGGATGAAGAAAGATGACTTCAGCGCTCACCAGTTCTGAGACAGCAAACCCCAAAAGTCACTAAAGTCAAAGGGCACAGGCGGGTGAAGACCTGACGGGACGGCTAAAAAGAGGTCAGAGTAAAGTCGCCTTTTTGGGTGAGAGGTCTTGATCGACCTATTCTTTAAAGTACACCCCATATCCCATCCAATGCTGCAGTTGAGTCCCTTTTCTCTATGAAAAAGTATTTGGGGGCCAAAAGAGCCACCCTGTCAGTTGGAAACTTGAGAGTTGATCCCCATGAAGGGCAACCACCACACCTCAAAGGAGGAGAAGGCCAGCCAGGTAGTAAATCCCCCAGTCAATCTAAACTGGCATGATTCATTTGTTCAATTAACTAGTATTTGAGTGCACCTGTATGGCTGTTCGGGGTGCAGAAATAATTGGGCCTTTTTTCATCTTAAGCATTTTTTTCAACTACTTTTTTGTAGTTTTTTGGGGTTTCAAAATCTAAATTAATTAAATCAAACAGACAAAAACAAATAAAATGAATGATCAGTGAGTAACTGGAATGATGAAGAAAGCGTCAAAAACTAACTCAATCTGTTGGGGTGCTATGGGACTTCATACAGCGACAAGTGTTTCCCTTTTCGGTTGCATGCGTTACATCTAAAAATTTAAAAAATTGCTATTTTCGCACTAGCGGCACTTGATCATGATTTGACCTTGGGGATTTTATATCTTATCAGGAAGTCTCGGTCTGTTCTAACCGAATTATCCATGTGAAAAAAATTAGCTGTTAGCATTTTGTGTTAGCTTCCCCTAAATTTTTTTGGTATTTAGCGGGTTTGCTTTTCGGAGAAATTTTTAGTTAGAGATTAGGGTTGCAAAACTAACTTTTTTTTAGCTGTGCCCACCACTGCCCCAGCCGTTTTCTAGCACAACAAATGGCTACCCCTATCACTTTCTCCACCTTGAGAGCGTACATACAATATACCCCACTTTATGTCTTTCAGCCAATGTCAAATTTGCCCTTTTTTTTCCCCTTTTCTAGAGTAAAAATTTTAGTTCAGTGAAAATCGTTATGTACATTCGACTTTTCATGACCAGAACGTCACTTATGCATAATTTTTTTTTTGGGCATTTTTCTTTAAAAAATATGATTAAATGTGTTTTTTTGCGTTCTTTAAGGTTTGCAATGTTATATTTTTCATGAGGTTTTATGCTAATTTTCTGTGTTTGTCGTTTTTAAGGTTTTTTTTAAGGCATTTTTCCAGTTTTTGTGAAAAAGGGTTTTCGTCACAGCTTTTGGAACCCCAATTAATGAATAGGGCCGGGTGTGATTATTGTCTTCCCCGATTCTTTTAAAAAGGAACATACTCACCTGGTGAATAAAAAAAATTTTGAGTCAAAAAAAATTTTTAAAAATTTTGAGGCATCCAGGTTGAAGAGCAAATAAGGAGGGGTTTTACAGGTGGCACAGTGAATTTTTTACTGATCTATGCTCCCATGGTTTGCTAGGGTCTGGTGAACCCGGTCATATAAAAAGCTAAGAAAAGAGAAAATGGGTCGGGGGAGGAATACCCCTGGAAAAAAATTTTGGCTGGGAAGTCCAGACTGGGAGTTTTTGATGTTTGACAGGAGTTTACCTGGGGAGGTTCCGGGGGGGCAACGCCCCGCGGCCGGTCTGTGACCCGGCCTCCTGGTGGTCAGAGCCGATCAACCAGGCGTTACTGCTGGCCGCACGCAAACCAACGTACGAGCCCCCAAACCCGGGGTCAGAAACCCACTTTAGGTGCTTGTTTAGTGCCCGCTTGAAGACTGCCAGGGGTCTGTTGGTAATCTCCCATATGTATGCTGGGAGGCAGTTGAACAGTCTCGGGCCCCTGACACTTATTGTATGGTCTCTTAACGTGCTAGTGACACCCCTGCTTTTCATTGGGGGGATGTTGCATCGTCTGCCAAGTCTTTTGCTTTCGTAGTGAGTGATTTTCGTGTGCAAGTTCAGTACTAGCCCCTCTAGGATTTTCCAGGTGTATATAATCATGTATCTCTCCCGCCTGCGTTCCAGGGAATACAGGTTTAGGAACCTCAAGCGCTCCCAGTAATTGAGGTGTTTTATCTCTGTTATGTGCACCGTGAAGGTTCTCTGTACATTTTCTAGGTCAGCAATTTCACCTGCCTTGAAAGGTGCTGTTAGTGTGCAGCAATATTCCAGCCTAGATAGAACAAGTGACCTGAAGAGTGTCATCATGGGCTTGGCCTCCCTAGTTTTGAAGGTTCTCATTATCCATCCTGTCATTTTTCTAGCAGATGTGATTGATACAATGTTATGGTCCTTGAAGGTGAGATCCTCCGACATGATCACTCCCAGGTCTTTGACGTTGGTGTTTCGCTCTATTTTGTGGCCAGAATTTGTTTTGTACTCTGATGAAGATTTAATTTCCTCGTGTTTACCATATCTGAGTAATTGAAATTTCTCATCGTTGAACTTCATATTGTTTTCTGCAGCCCACTGAAAGATTTGGTTGATGTCCGCCTGGAGCCTTGCAGTGTCTGCAATGGAAGACACTGTCATGCAGATTCGGGTGTCATCTGCAAAGGAAGACACGGTGCTGTGGCTGACATCCTTGTCTATGTCAGATATGAGGATGAGGAACAAGATGGGAGCGAGTACTGTGCCTTGTGGAACAGAGCTTTTCACCGTAGCTGCCTCGGACTTTACTCTGTTGACGACTACTCTCTGTGTTCTGTTAGTGAGGAAATTATAGATCCATCGACCGACTTTTCCTGTTATTCCTTTAGCACGCATTTTGTGCGCTATTACGCCATGGTCACACTTGTCGAAGGCTTTTGCAAAGTCTGTATATATTACATCTGCATTCTTTTTGTCTTCTAGTGCATCTAGGACCTTGTCGTTTTACTCTAAATGGTTCATCAGATATCATAGACTGAAATATAGTTTTTTATGTACAGTACTGTCACTGGCAACTTGAAAACATCATAACATGACAATTGATCATTTATTGTTGTTAATACAACTATCATGAAAATTGGAAAGGGGGTAGTGATATCAAGAAAAACTATTGATAAATTAAATTTTTGCATTATGGCTTTGACTGTTGTGACCATATTTCTTTTCAGTATCGATGGGTTTATATCCGCACAGGAACGAAACGGCCACAGGTGCTTAGCTCTGGACGTCAACTTGTAGTTGGTGAACCCAGACTTGCACTTGATACTAAGGTAAATTTAGTAATTGCAAAAAGGGAAAATCAAAACCTTTTCATGTCTTTATTAAAGGGGAAACTTTGAGCAGAAACTTAACACACAAAAAGTGTTATAGTAGATCTCCAGATATTGTATTATTTTAAATTTAGTATTTGCCTGTGGAGGAAGAATACAGTCCTTAGCAGTACTGTATAACAGTTTACGTGTTAAATTGAATCTTAACAGTAGTTTATTCTGAAGAAATCAGTAAAACCTTGATTTAGCAGACCCCAATTTAATGACTTGGATATAATGGACAAAATCTGTAGATGAACAACATCTGGAAATGACAGCCAAAGCCTTTCTGATCCAGAATTATTATTATGGCTCACTGGGTAAAATGATTTCTGATTTAATGGACAAATTCTGTAAATCTGGAATTGTCTGTTATTGTGACAGTCATGAAACAACAATCTCATCTTTTCTTTCAGTTGAGGCTTCATTGAATAATAAAGGTATCTTTTGAGCTGTACTCTTTTGCAAAATATGTCTCGCTATTTTTTAATTACTCTATTATTATTATTATTACAAATGTATAAATTCAAGGATTATGTGGAGTAAAATAAAGATTGGATGTGAAAAGTGGGTTATAGTAAGCGTGTATGCACTTGGAGAAGAGAGAAGTGTAGAGGAGAGAGAGAGATTCTGGGAAATGTTGAGTGAATGCGTGGGGAGTTTTGAATCAAGTGTGAGAGTAATGGTGGTTGGGGATTTCAATGCTAAAGTGGGTAAAAATGTTATGGAGGGAGTAGTATGGGTAAATTTGGGGTGCCAGGGGTAAATGTAAATGGGGAGCCTTTAATTGAGCTATGTGTAGAAAGAAATTTGGTAATAAGTAATACATATTTTATGAAAAAGAGGATAAATAAATATACAAGGTATGATGTAGTACGTAATGAAAGTAGTTTGTTAGATTATGTATTGGTGGATAAAAGGTTGATGGGTAGGCTCCAGGATGTACATGTTTATAGAGGGGCAACTGATATATCGGATCATTATTTAGTTGTAGCTACAGTTAGAGTAAGAGGTAGATGGGAAAAGAGGAAGGTGGAAACAACAAGTAAGAGGGAGGTGAAAGTGTATAAACTAAGGGAGGAGGAAGTTCGGGCGAGATATAAGCGACTATTGGCAGAAAGGTGGGTTAGTGCAAAGATGAGTAGTGGGGGGGTTGAAGAGGGTTGTAATAGTTTTAAAAATGCAGTATTAGAATGTGGGGCAGAAGTTTGTGGTTATAGGAGGGTGGGGGCAGGAGGAAAGAGGAGTGATTGGTGGAATGATGAAGTAAAGGGTGTGATAAAAGAGAAAAAGGTAGCTTACGAGAGGTTTTTACAAAGCAGAAGTGTTATAAGAAGAGCAGAGTATATGGAGAGTAAAAGAAAGGTGAAGAGAGTGGTGTGAGAGTGCAAAAGGAGAGCAGATGAAAGAGTGGGAGAGGCACTGTCAAGAAATTTTAATGAAATAAGAAAAAATTTTGGAGTGAGTTAAAACAAGTTAAGAAAGCTAGGGAAAGTTGGATTTGTCAGTTAAAAAACAGAGTAGGGGAGTTAGTAGATGGGGAGAGGGAGGTATTAGGTAGATGGCGTGAATTATTTTGAGGAACTTTTAAATGTTAAGGAAGAAAGGGAGGCGGTAATTTCATGCACTGGCCAGAGAGGTATACCATCTTTTAGGAGTGAAGAAGAGCAGAATGTAAGTGTGGTGGAGGTACGTGAGGCATTACGTAGAATGAAAGGGGGTTAAAGCAGCTGGAACTGATGGGATCATGACAGAAATGTTAAAAGCAGGGGGGGATATAGTGTTGGAGTGGTTTGGTACTTTTGTTTAATAAATGTATGAAAGAGGGGAAGGTACCTAGGGATTGGCGGAGAGCATGTATAGTCCCTTTATATAAAGGGAAAGGGGACAAAAGAGATTGTAAAAAATTATAGAGGAATAAGTTTATGAGTATACCAGGAAAAGTATACGGTAGGGTTATAATTGAAAGAATTAGAGGTAAGACGGAATGTAGAATTGCGGACGAGCAAGGAGGCTTCAGAGAGGGTGGGGGTGTGTAGATCAAGTGTTTACATTGAAGCATATATGTGAACAGTATTTAGATAAAGGTAGGGAAGTTTTTATTGCATTTATGGATTTAGAAAAGGCATATGATAGAGTGGATAGATGAGCAATGTGGCAGATGTTGCAAGTATATGGAATAGGTGGTAAGATACTAAATGCTGTAAAGAGCTTTTATGAGGATAGTGAGGCTCAGGTTAGGGTGTGTAGAAGAGAGGGAGAATTACTTCCCGGTTAAAAGTAGGTCTTAGACAGGGATGTGTAATGTCAACATGGTTGTTAATATATTTATAGATGGGGTTGTAAAAGAAGTAAATGCTAGGGTGTTCGGGAGAGGGGTGGGATTAAATTATGGGGAATCAAATTCAAAATGGGAATTGACACAGTTACTTTTTGCTGATGATACTGTGCTTATGGAGATTCTAAAGAAAAATTGCAAAGGTTAGTGGATGAGTTTGAGAATGTGTGTAAAGGTAGAAAGTTGAAAGTGAACATAGAAAGAGTAAGGTGATGAGGGTATCAAATGATTTAGATAAAGAAAAATTGGATATCAAATTGGGGAGGAGGAGTATGGAAGAAGTGAATGTTTTCAGATACTTGGGAGTTGACGTGTCGGCGGATGGATTTATGAAGGATGAGGTTAATCATAGAATTGATGAGGGAAAAAAGGTGAGTGGTGCGTTGAGGTATATGTGGAGTCAAAAACGTTATCTATGGAGGCAAAGAAGGGAATGTATGAAAGTATAGTAGTACCAACACTCTTATATGGATGTGAAGCTTGGGTGGTAAATGCAGCAGCGAGGAGACGGTTGGAGGCAGTGGAGATGTCCTGTCTAAGGGCAATGTGTGGTGTAAATATTATGCAGAAAATTCGGAGTGTGGAAATTAGGAGGTGTGGAGTTAATAAAAGCATTAGTCAGAGGGCAGAAGAGGGGTTGTTGAGGTGGTTTGGTCATTTAGAGAGAATGGATCAAAGTAGAATGACATGGAAAGCATATAAATCTATAGGGGAAGGAAAGAGGGGTAGGGGTCGTCCTCGAAAGGGTTGGAAAGAAGGGGTAAAGGAGGTTTTGTGGGTGAGGGGCTTGGATTTCCAGCAAGCGTGCATAAGCGTGTTAGATAGGAGTGAATGGAGACGAATGATACTTGGGACCTGACGATCTGTTGGAGTGTGAGCAGGGTAATATTTAGTGAAGGGATTCAGGGAAACCGGTTATTTTCATATAGTCGGACTTGAGTCCTGGAAATGGGAAGTACAATGCCTGCACTTTAAAGGAGGGGTTTGGGATATTGGCAGTTTGGAGGGATATGTTGTGTATCTCTATACGTATATGCTTCTAAACTGTTGTATTCTGAGCACCTCTGCAAAAGCAGTGATAATGTGTGTGTGTGGTGAAAGTGTTGAATGATGATGAAAGTATTTTCTTTTTGGGGATTTTCTTTCTTTTTTTTTTTTGGGTCACCCTGCCTCGGTGGGAGACGACCGACTTGTTGAAAAAAAAAAAAAAAAAAAAAAAATCATGTATTTATACCATAGAAATTATGCAACAAAATTCCCATAGAAGGGACTACCTTATTTGTTTACTTTGTACTGTATGTAGTTAGATTTGACCTCACTTTGTCATGGTGACCACATTAGTACCTTTTGAGGACAGGCCAATTAGGCTGGCATTACCTGGGCTTACCAGGGGTATGAGTAGTTACATTTTTTCATGTGTTTAATATTATTGTTTTGAGCATACAGGATTTTTATAATTATTAAATTTATACGAAGCATTAAACCCATTTGAATCATTCAGCACACGGAGTGGGGGTGAAGGTCTCCAAACACAAAAGTGTGATAAGTAAGTAATGTAATAAATAAACAAATAAAATAATATATTTTCAAAATAAACATAATTCTTGCAAAATTTGGTGACACTTATTTCACACTTTTTGAAAAGCTTCTGGTTGTCATTATTATTATTATTATTATTATTATTATTATTATTATTATTATTATTATTATTATTATTATTATTATAATTAGGGAGGAGTGCTACATGTGTAGGGGTCATACAAATCAAGAAAAATGGGAGGTAATTAGGCTTGATCTAAGGAAGAGGAAGATATATGTAGTACTTCCTTGATTAATCAAGAGCCCCTTACCATCCTCAAGGCACCTCCCAGGTATTATTTGCATGTTAAGTTTAATATACACAAGAGTCATTATGTTGCCTGAAGGTAAGGTTATTAAAAGTACAATAGAACCTCGTTTTTTGGCTGCTGCGTTTTTCAACCAATTTGTATTTAGGCCGGTTTTTTGGCAGAAATTTTGTTCCGTATTTCAGCCATTGCCTTGTATATTGGCCGTATTAGATGCATCAGCCCACCTCCTGCCAGGACGCTGCGCATAGCTGAGTCAATCTTCCTTTGTCTGTTGGCGAGTGAGCATATACTCCACTCATTCATCCAAACATTCATCCAAACCCCTCATGGTGATAAACATCTATAGAGTACCACAGTCAAACATTTACCACTTTAGTGAAAAATTAGGAAACTTGATAACTGATGCACATATGAACAAAGACCATCTGCTAACAGATTTCAACATAAATCTACTACATGACCAAAACCCACAAGTAACCGAATTCACAAACACTATGAGCAATTGCTTGTTGCTACCAACAATATCTAAACCTACAAGAATCTCCAAGACCAGTGTCTCTTTAATAGACCACATCTGGATTAACACCATATCCCCTTCAACCCTCTAACTGTCCAAACGTAGATCTACGTTTGCACGAGTAGCACTCCGCCCTTGATTTTCTCCATAAGAAAGAATGTAAAAAAACATAATTCAGAGCGCTATGCGAGCAAACGTAAATCTACATTTAGACAGTTTAAGGGTTAAAATCAGGCATAATCACAGACAACACCAC